CAGAAACAGAAATGAAAAATGTGAATTAAAATTAAATTGTACAATTGAAAAATAACTTTAAATTATGGAAGATAATTTATTCAATTTAATTATTAATTTTATATGAAATAAGGTAAATTACCTTTTTTCTTGATAAATTTATCTTCTCTTTTTTATCCTTTGGTGCTGAATCAGTATCAAGTTGTGGTGGTTGTGGTGTTTGTGGTATACTATACACCACATACACTACAACCTGATACTAAAACATACCAATCAAACAGAAAAAATAAAGGTGCAGATATTTTTACAATTCTATAAAACAAAATAAACATTGCACACATTTAACTTTAACAAAATAAACATTGTACACATTTAACTTTAACAAAATAAACATTGCACACATTTAACTTTAACAAAATAAACATTGCACACATTTAACTTTATTATAATTGCAATATCATCTAATTATATATAGCAGAAATAGACAAAATTTATTTACGTAAATATTTAAAAGTAAACAAAAAATAAATTTCAATAATCGATTTGCAATAGAAATCAATATAAAATACAATAAATCAATTTTTTAAGTTAATAATTCATTTAAAATATATTTATAATTCTCTAAATAGTTTTACAAAAAATTATACAACCAGTCTATCATTTTTTTAAATGCCAAAAAGTTATCCCAAAATTTAATACTGGGTGGTTGTTTTTAAGAGTCACCTACCTAACCTACAAAAAAAATTTTTAATAATGAACATGATATTTTTTTTACTCATTTAAATGATTTAGCTCAAAACCCAATCATTTGAATCAAGTTTCCAAATATAAACAATTTTGTGAATAAAATTCTCAAGAGTACTAAAGCAACAGACCAACATTCTCCTTCTTGTCAAAAATTATTAAAGTATTCACTTCCAGATTGCATAATCACAAATTATATATGTAAAGACACTGTATTCTATTAAAAATATCAATAATTTGTCCAATTTAACTTATGAGTTATCTTTTACCACAATATGCAACCACCCATTCTTTTGCTTCAAAATGTAGTCCCAGTATGTCTCAAAGACAGTTACATTTTTTTCTGACTCACTCTCACTGGGAGTTTGCAGTGTCACTTCCTTCTCTTTGATGATACAATTATCAAAATAACACTGTTTGACTCTTATACTATTGCTGTTTTTATATACAGATTTTTCAAATTAGAGTTAACTTAGTTCTTCTAGAAATTTTTGAAAACTTATCCTACAAAGTTATTCCAGAATTTTTTATACCAGTTCTTTGCATTGATCATTTTTAAAAAATTCTACAAATTTTAATAGAAAAACATGGTAAGATCTGTCATTTTAGGTGAGTTTATGTCACATTAAACTTTTATACATAGCTGTATGAATAAATAAACATTTTATGCATTGCTGCATGAATAAATAAGCTATTATATGATCAATGATATTATTTGCATATATTGATTTTAAAGTTTAAAAAAAAAATTACTAAAAATAAATTTAATGTAATTGTTTATATTTGTTATAGTTAGTTATAAAATGATACTGTTATAAAATGATATATTTATAAAGTGATTTCTAAAATATTGTTTTAAAAAACTAATTTGACATTACAGAAATGACAATTTTCAAATTCTTTAACATGGATCATGCATAACAATTTTTAAATTCTTTTATATTAAATGTACCCCTCTTATAGAAATCAATAAATAGTTTTAATTATTGATTTCTATAATTAACTAAATTTATCAAGATGATGCATAAACTAAAAAATAATAATTTAAAACTAAATACACAAAATTAAAATTACCAAACCATCTTTAAAATAAAAATTAATTAACGCGAGTTATTTAAGTTTTTTTTAAATTAAAAATTAAATAACAAGGAGCTACGCATATTTCAGATGTTTTTTCTTTGAATTAGGATTACTAGATTTAAACTTTGAAACTTTAAAAATATTTTTACATAATCTTGTAGAGCTTAACAAATTGAATAAAAAAATTTAATTTTTTTTAAAAAAAAGTTCTATATTTTATTTACCACTTAGTTATAAAATCATTACTAAAAAATTAGAAATAGCATGCAGCGCATGTTAATTTGAATTCCATTATATATGTATAGAAAAAAAAAAAGTTGTGAGAACAAAATCTTTTTTTTTTTGTATATAAAAAACACACACAAATTTATCAGACTTTTATATCACAGACAGTCGCGTTTGCATTCAAACAAATTCAGATTGAAATTATATCTAATTTAAAAAAAAATTAGTACCACAAAACCATTCACCCCATTTACAAGCGATCCATCAATAGTTTAAAGGGTCTTCTTGATGAAGTTTACCATATTCAGTTGTAGGTTGAATAACTTATGTGGTTAAATGACAAAATATGCAACTAGTTTAAGTTCATCAGCCAAAAAATTTATCCTGAGAGCATATTTTTCTATTAAATTTTGTGTTATAAATTTTGTTAGTATTTTATGAATAGAACTTCCCCAGTTAAAGTTACAGTGAGAAATATTAAGTATAAAGTAAGACTTGATAAAATATTACAGCAGCAATTTTAAGAAAAAATGTATTTACTATTAGAGTTTTAATAGGTTTCTTGTTACTCATATTATACATAATAACAAAGATAATGAGTCGAAAAAAACTAAAGTAAAAACTGTTCTTTTAATAACCGTATCAGGAAGCTTTCCATTTACATGGTCATTAAAAGTGGATTTAGTTATTTTTAGTTTGAGCTGTTTGTTTTTGGTTCAATGTTATTTTTCCAATTCTACTAAAGCTATTTTCTCTTCTTTAGCCATGTTTATAATTTGTACATTAGGCTTTAACACATGATCTAATTCTATTTCGTTAAAGTATTTTAATGATAATAAATCTAGTTAAATATTCATATTTAAAGGGACTACCAAGTCCCGAGACATGCTGTGTTCATATTAAAGAGAATGTTAAAAAAAAACGGCTGAGCAAATTTTTTTTGATTAAATCTAAATAATAAATGTATACCAAGAAAAACAAATCTTGTTGTTTTAGTCGAAGCTGGTCTTCTTCGTTTTCTGTGGTACTTTTATGTATGTAAAATAAATGCGATTTTCCAGGCGCACTATACAGACTTGATAATTTATTCAAGCGCGTTTAATTCATAGGAGTTTTAGTGCATGACGTCATAGATTTTTTTTTTGTTTGTTTAAAACACCGATTGTTATTTTTTACATACAATTTCCAAATCATATTCATTTTTATTATATTTTAAAGTTCTAAAATGTGTTTATAAAACAAAATTAAAAACAAAATAAAATTAAAAACAAAATAAATAAAATAAAAATTAAAAACAAAAATAAAATAAAAAACAAAATAGTATATTATTAGCGCAACTTTTTTTAAATAATCGTCTAGACCACGTGTATTTTGATTTCTTTTGTTATAAGTTTTTCTTTCAAAATATTAGATAAAATAATTTTTAACCTAAATAATAATGCACTTTTATTAATTTATTCTGTAAATATTTAAAAAAAAATTATTAACACATTTTTTCTCTGATTTTCAAAAATGTATTTTTTGGTATTGAGGTGATCTTATTTCATTATTTATATTTCCATTATTATAACATCCAATATATATTATAGTGGGGGCTTAAAAATTAATATATATTAATTTTTATTTTACATAAAAATTAATATATACTAATTTTTATTTTACAGACACATGGAAACATAATTAACATGAATGTTCTTAAAACATCTTGCGGAAGAATAAAAAGAATATTGGCGAACACTAAAAACCCACCAAATTTGCGAACAAACTAATTCTATTGGTTCAAAAAACACGCTGACTAAGCGAAATAAAGTTCTAGAGTATTCTGTTGAAATGTTTAGAAATTGTATTATTTACGATTTGTTGCGTTTTGAGATATCTAGCATAAATTTTTTTAAGAATATATTATCAAATGAACTATTACTTTAATATTATGGCTCATACTCGGAGCCACATCTGCAAAGCCGTAAATCTTTTAAACTATTATCATTTGTTTACAAAAATAAATTTTTTATAATATATATTTTTTAAGTTGTCAAAATTTTGAAAGTTAATTACAAATTATATATTTTATTAGTATATTCTTAATTTTTATATCTTTTCTTAGTGTTTGGTTTAATTAATTGTTCGTTAGATTTATAAAAAACTAAGGAACAATTAATAAAATAAACTTTTAATAAAATAAGTAACTATAGTTAGCTATTTTAGTAAAATTTAATAGTAAAAATTTTAAAGAATTTCTAGAATGTTTTCAATGACGCCATACACTAAAACTCCTATGAATTAAACGTGCTTGAATAAATTATCAAGTCTGTATAATGCACCTGGAAAATCACGTTTATTTTACATACTCAAAATACCACAGAAAAGGGAGAAGACGAGCTTCGACTAAAACAACATCTTGGTACACATTAATTAGTTTTAATCAAAAAAAATTTGCTCAGACAACTTTTTTTAACTTTCTCTTTAATATGAACACAACATGTCTCGGGACTTGGTAGTCCCTTTAACATTATTTCGGAACTTACCAAATTTTGAAAATTCCAAATTTTAGCCTAATTGTTGAGAGATTAGAAAAAAAAATTGTTTAAAAGATTAACAAAATATATGAAAAAAAAATTTACTGTAGCCACTCATGGTTGCTTATTTTTTAGTTAGAAAATTTACATAATTTATTATAATAATACTAATAATGCATATCGCTTCAAAAATGATAATAGATAATTTTTTTTTCAGATTATGAAAGATAATTATTTTCCTACTTTTAAAAGAAAAAAAATTCCTTTGAAATCCTAAATTTCAATCATAAATTTGATTTTTAAGTACACTTCCGAATTAACAATATGTGCGAAATATGTTCAACTGACATTAACATCTTGATTGAAAATGTTGGAAATTAACAAGTAACTGAAAAAAATTAGAATATGTGTTTTGCTCATGAGCGTATTTGTGCATAAAAAAAAATAAAAACTAACATGCTCATGTATTGCTGAATCAGAAGGTCTGAACAAGTCTAGATGTTTTCTTCCAGCTCCACCTGGCTAAATAAAACTTATTAATTTTAAAATATGAAAGCATATAATAAAATATGAATATATATACAACATTATAGAATCATATATAACAACTATATTTTAAATAAATATAATATTTTTAATTGCCATTTTACCAACTTATTAAAACTACAAGATTTAGTATATATAAAACAAAAGCTTTTTTTTAAATACTATTATCTTATCTTAAATAGGGTACCCTCTATCTTCTAAAAAAAGATTTGGGTACCCTCTATTTTCTAAAAAATAATTTAGCTCTATTTCTTAAACATGCATTTTTGTTTTCACTAAAAATGTATATAGATTTAGAGGGATCATCTTGAGTATAAATTTTTTAAGACTCTGAATGAAAAGTGAAGTACACTCTGGTATTAAAAAAAGCAAACCTATATAAAAATAATACAATTTCTATATTCAAATTTTTACTATTTATTTTACATTTGTCCAAAAATTTAATGTTTTCAAAAATATTTTTTTAATAAAATAGATTTTTATTATAAAAACATTCGAGACCCAAGTAGAAACCCTTTGAAAAACATTTTTTTTTTTCATTTAAAGTGTGATTAAAAAATTAAGACTTAGGGTGAGCCTATAAAATCAAATGTTGGAACAACTTAACAGAGTTGAGAGTGAAAACCAATAAAATGTTAGAATAGGAATAGGTCTTTTCTGGAAAATAAAGGGGACTATTAAAAATTTTACATATATAGACTATTTAGATTAGATTAATTTTAACTTTATCTATATACATCTGTAATTGGAAATCTTTTTATTTATATCAAATAGAATATACTATAATCAAAATTTCAAACTGCTTACAGAAAAGTATGACACAGTTATTGTTTCTGCCTAAATACAAGAAAAAACGCATAAATAGCAAAAAAAACAAAAATAAAACAAACAAAAATATAAAGAAAACAAAAAAATTTACTGGTTTAGGTAAAGGATGGGAAATAACAGCTTTTAAAAAGGAAAACACAGCAGATGAAGAATACTGTCTCTGCTTTTCAACTTCATCTAAAACCTAAATAGATATGCATGTATATATACACAAGTGTGTGTGTATATATATATATATATATATATATATATATATATATATATATATATATATATATATATATATATATATATATATATATATATATATATATATATATATATATATAGACACACACACACACACACTTATATATACATGTATATATACATGCATATATATAATAGGTTTTGTATAATATAATATATAGATAAATATGGGTATAATATAAAAAGAAAAAAAAAATCTTTTTCTTAACAAAATACCTGTGAATATAAAGCAAACAAACCATGTGGACTAACAATACAATAAACTTCTGGATATTTTTCTGTGGAAGCCTTGAATAAATTATATTTTAACTTTATAAAAGAATTAGACTCCCTAAAACTAAGAATATAAAGAAACATAAAATATATAAAAATGTTTTTCAGTAATTATCAAAAACATTAATTACATCAACCATATAAAATTTTGTAGGCAACAATAACACTTGCATGCGCATATGTAATAACAACCAACAAAAGATTTACACTTGCATGCGCGCATATCAACAAAAGATTTTTACCTGTATCAGTCTACAATAACCAAACACTCTTCCACCAATTTCATCTGTCAGTACAAATGAAAATGTTTCACTATTAAAAAAATTGCAATATTAATTACAAATAAACTTAATAAAAATAACATTTATAAAAAAAAACAGAATTAGGGAATACTTTTCAACAAAGTACTAAAAAGAACCTTTTATTAAAACTTGATACAAAACTACTATCAGGAAAACAAAATTGGGGAATACTCTTAATTCTTTGATTTAAAGCTGAAGAGGTTACTTCATCAATCTTAAAAAAAATTATAGTTGTTAGGTGAAATGATATTACCAAAAAATTAAAAATATCAAAACAAAGAAATAAAACTTACCTGAGGAGGAAATTGAAACGAAATAAATGGTGTAAGATTCTCATTGTTACCTGATAAAATTTTAAACTTTATTTTAAATACATTTTTGTTAAAAATTCAATTTAAAAATTAATTCTTTATTATTTACATTATATTATCTATAATAAATATTTTTTTTAAGTATTGTACACTTTTAAATAAATGAATTTCATATTAAAAAAACATAAATTAAGATTAACAACTTTATGTTAAAAATCTCTTTTTACCTAAAGTTGTACATTTATCATTATTTTAACATATTAAAAAAATAAAGTAGCACAGTACACTTCATAGAAAGTACTGTAGCACAGTACACTTCATAGAAAGTGCAGATTGTTCATAAAATGTTCATAATCTTGCAGTCACTTAATAAAATTTACTATAAATCACACAATAAACTGTTTATAAAAAGTAATCCAGTTAACAGAAAATATAGTTTGTTGAAAGTACTGTAGATTCATAGAAGTTCATTGCTAAACCTAGTTAAAATTGTGCAATTTCCAATAATATTCTAGATGTTCCCATTCCTGACCTTTAGCAAAAAACCTAGATGGTGCGTTCTTGCTTTGAGGTTAAAAAATATTTTCATGTTCATTAATTTTCATGCGCATAAAACACTCAGTTTAATTATATTATAATTGAACAGACAGTTTTATGCTTTAACATGAAAATTGACAAAAAACCTAGATGGTGCATTCTCACTTTGAGGTGCCAATATGTCATCAAGTTGCTTCGGATCTTTAGTAGAAAGCTCAGCCTAATACTAGTCTATTTAAATAAGCACAAAGTGTCAAAATTACCATTAAAATTTTAATGACTTAACTAAATACTTTGGCTTGCAAAACCAAGTAGAAGCCATGAAGCCACTAGTTTTTGATGATAGATCTAGCTCTTAAAAAATTTAAAGCAACACAACTTATAAGCAATGAATAACAAAAATTTATTACTTAACTTTGTATTTAGTTTTGTCTAAGTTTTAATACTTTCTGATACAGGTATAATTCCCTTAAAAACTACGCAAATTTTAAAAATGGAGTACATCCGTTACAGGGCAACTATTTAAACTTTTTTTGTGTGATTTGAAAATACCTATTATAGGATTTTTCTTTACTGTAAGTCATTATCCTTGTTTTGCCATATTTGGTGAGAATTAGCAGAGTGAATTCTCTGATTTTTTGAGAGATTCCCCTTAAAAACTAAAGGAACATAATTGTATTTGAATAGATGAAAAATTTCTGAGACATCAAGATTTTTTTAGCTAGCCTCTCTTGTGCCATCTACTAAAATTTATTCTCGTGTTACTCATCATTCAATTAAGTCTCATCCTTTTTCTGTTACTGTTTCTAAGTGCTCCAAAAACTCTTATTTGTCTAGTTTTTTTCCTTGAACATCAGTTCTTTGGAATTCGCTTCCTTCATCTTGCTTTCCTGATTTGTATAATTTGCAATCTTTTAAGTCGTCTGCCAATCGTTATCTTGCTCTACAGTCTTCATATTTTCTCCTCCAGTAACTTCCAACACTAATTAGTGGTTGCATGCAGCCTTGTTGGAAGCGAAGATGTTTAAAAAAAAAAAAAATTATATCAGAAACCAGTGTAGTATGATATTGTGACGTTAGAATAATAGGGTTCTATCTCCCTTTTGTATGGTTAAGAGAATTTAACAAAACTTGTTATATTCTCTTAAATTTTTAAAATTAAAAGTAAAAATTTGTTAAGTTTGTTAAACTAAAAGATTAAAATATCAAATTTGTTAAATTTATTGCTTAGAATACACATTGTTTATTATTTATTAAGTAATATAAATTGGTGAAAGACAAATAGCATATCAGTAGATGAGAATAATAAGTATCTCCAAATTTTTGTAATAAAAAAAATTTAATTTTCTGTCTTTAATTATAATATTATTTTTGTATCAAAATTTGTATTCAAAATTGCATAATTTTAATATATTAATCTTATTATTTTTTACAAAACTTTAAAAATTGTTAGTTTTTGTTTTTTCATTGTCTATTTCAACCTTATTTAATAAAGTTAGAATTAACAATTAATTTGTAGTCAAGCAATTTTAAAAATTATGAAAGTAATAATGTAAGAATAATTATCAAACATAAATAACATAAAAAAAATATTTTATCAACATAAACAACAACAACTGTAAAACATTTATATATTTAAAAATCGAAAGTTAAATTCTCACAATGTTTAATAATGGAGATAGAACCCTATTATTCTAATGTCACGATATATAGGGAGGCTTGCTAACTAAGTCCAACAAAAAATAGCATTTTAGCTAGTCCTTTAAAAACTACACAATTTCCCCTTTAAATACTACATTACATTAGGTAAAATATGTCTCCACAAGCTCACTTAGAATAGCTAGGAATGGAGAAAATGTTATCTTCTTTAACCAAGAAATGGTAAAATTATTATAACTGGTAACTTTCTGTTCATTTTGTGCTCATAATCTCTAATCAAGTATGTATATTCTTTATTTTTAGTGTTGAAATAGAAAATAATATGGAAAACCACAGTTTAATTTTAAGATTTCTGCTGATAGAAAAAGTATTAGAACAAAGACAAAGCCAGAAATTCAAGCTGAAGCACAGAAAGGAATAAAATATCAGAGGCAGTAGATAAAAACAAGGACAGGTATCATTAAAAACAGGAAAGTTTTCTTTAATTAAAGATCATGATACAATAGACAGAAGGTTAGATGGCAAAGTTAAGAATGTAAAAAAGGAACATTTGAGAGTTTTACATCCAGATGATGAGAAGGAAATAGTTTGTTTTATCATAAACAAAAACAGAGTCTACCAGGGACTCTCTAAGAAAGAAGTTTCTGAAATTATTTTGGATGCGCTGAAAATCAGAGATCATTTGAAAAGGTGGAAGAATCACCAAGTGCAAAAACAGCCCTACAAAATGAAAGGTAAGTTTTTTTCTTTAAACTAATTTATCAACATCTTAACAGGTGCAAGGGTACAGTAGATATTAAATAGATGTAAAATACTGAATATTTAGGGCTCTGTTCATTTTAATTTGGCCTTGCCTCTTAATGGCAATATTATCATGTTTAGCTTGCCATCTCCTCCAAAATGATTTTCAGAATCTAAATACTTATCCAAATTATTTAGACTCGGGAAATCATTTTGGAGAAAATGGCACACTAAACATGATGATATTGTCATTAAGAGGCAAGGCCAAATTAAAATGAACAGAGCCCTAAAATGTACTATGGAAATGGCTACAGATCAGATAGGTACACATTTTTTATCACATATTGCTTTTTTAGTTGAATATAAAAAGATCAATTTTCAACTTCATTCTCAAGTGTTCTACAACTTGGTTTTTATCCTTCAATAAGTGTATGTTTTTTTATAAGCGACCAGCTGCGCTTCTATCAGATGGTCACTTGTCGTTGTTTGACTTTAAAGTTCTTAATTTTTTGCGTGAAAAGCAAATCATTTTTTTGTGTCTCCCCCTGATACTACTGGAGTCACACAGCTACTAGACCAAATCAACAGCTCCATCGATATTATAATAACACGCAAGATGAACTCTTTTTCTGCAGTATCATCCTCTGATTCTTAAAAAAAACACTCTATTTTGGTTCTGAATCAAATATTTTAAATCTTAACAACTCAGATGTTTTTTTAGATGAAATGTTTGTTTTTCATCTAAAAAAAGCAAAATGAACGTCTTTTAGAGTTTGTAAATTAATTAATATTACATTAGTGGATTAGAACAAGTCTAATACTATCTAGAAATAAAATAATTGCAAACTTAAAAATAAATTATTAAACAGTAGGGGGTCATAATGCATAAATTGAACCATTTTAAAAACTAAAAATTTGATTTGCATTTACTTTTTGGGGATTTTAAAATTGTAAAAGAGGTAAATATTTAAATAATATGTCATCTAGTATGTTTTGAGATACTGATTCAATCATTGTTTAATAATTTCATTGACATTAGTGGAACCCAGAGCTGAAAGTTAATATGTGCAGTATTTAAGGAAGTATGTGTTTTTAAGGGGAATCTGTAGTTATTGTTATAAGTTTTTTATGTTATTACCTCCCAAAGGCCAAGAACTTTCTGCTATTATTATTACTAGTCAACATAAAAAGAACTGTTAGAACTGTTTAAAAGTAGTTCACGATAAAAACTGTTTAATAAAATTACATGAAAAAAACTGTTAAATACACAGGGCTCAATTTAATTTTTTATAAAATCCCAGACAAAATGTCCAATCAAAAGTTGTTTGGGTCGGACAGTGTTTGATTAAATTTTTAAAATATAATTTTTATGGTTTTACAAAACAGAGTTTAGAATCCAAATATTTGTCATGTTATTCAGCTTATTTAACGTTAGCCTAGTAAAGTCGTAGTTTCTTTCATCATTATTTAGAATAATTCATCCTAGATTTTTGTTTTTTAATAAAATAGTTTCAATTTAATATTGTACGTTTTTTTCACGCTGTACCTGATAACGCTTTTTTTTTCCTTTACAATTAGACAACGACTGTTTTGATGTTTTAACAATTTATAAGCAATTTAAAAAATCCTAACGTTACAAAAACTTTTAATCATTGATCTTTTTTAAGGTTTTTTTTTTTTACGGGAAGGCTTTAAATAAAATAAAATCAAAATTAATTATAATGATCGTTTAAAAATAAAGGCATTATGTGTGAATTACTTTTTTAAATTTTTTATTTAAATTTTTGTTTATTAGGTATGTATTTTTTATGTTAATTTGAACATTTGAAACTATTTTCCATGTCATTCTAAAAATCTTTTAAAAGAATATTTTTTTAAGTTACTTTATTCTATAAGTTAAACTAAAACTAAATTCCCAGTTTAGATTTAATTGCTTTATTATTATTATTATTATTATTGTTATTATTATTATTTTTATTTTTTTTTTATTTTTTTTTTTTTTGTTTCTATTTTTACAAAGAATTGTTGAAAAGTTTTTTTTTTTGAAACTTGACTTACTAATTAAATCATGAAATGATTAAAAATTATGATATTAAAAAAACAACGTTATTTTTTTAAACATTTTTTTTTAGAACTGTTTGAAAAAATGTTTATACAAATTAAAATATTATATTTTTTTTGTTTCAATAATAAATAAATCTATTCATTTATTAAACAATCAATAGGAGTAATTTGTAAAAGCGTTTTGCGTAACATTTATTAAATGTTTTAAAAGATCAGTTAAAAAAAGTTACTTTAAAATTCAAAGTAACTTTTTATTAATGCAATTAAAAACAAAACAAAAAGTAATTTCTACTTTGAGTTTTTTTAGTTTTATTTAAAATTTTGCTTATTCTTTAATTTTTTCAATTTTTTTCCTAGTTTTAGTTTAAGTAAATGTTTCTTTTTTCAGCGCATTTCTGAAACGTTTAAATCATCAAAACATCTAAATAGTCGTGGTCAATTTGTGAACATAAAAAAAATCATTTACGTGGTCAGCAAAAGCATTTTATCACACACCATTCCTGTCCAAACTTTATTTTGTAGAATTTAATTCCTGTCGGTCAAAATGTCTGATCACTTTATAAATTAAGCAGACAATCTAAGGTTTTAGCCGGACAATGTCCGATTGTTAAATTGAGCTCTGAATACATATTATCATCAGTCATTAATGATATGATAAGTCGGTATAATAAGAATGTTTGGTAAACTAAAAACACTAGCTTATCCACCTAATCCTAGAATGTCTCTTACTAAACAAAACTTTTAACAAAATTTTATTTACTTTCAAAACAACTGGTGCAGTATTGACTTAAAAAAACTGGTGCAGTATAAATAAAAAATGCATCCCCAACATTTATCATAAATTGTATATAGAAAACATGTTTACACATTTTTACTATTGCAAATACATGTATAAATTTATTTAGGTTATATATATAAACACATAGAAAATCTTAAAGCAAATCAATTGATGAATCTTTTTTAAAACTAACCTTTTTTCAAGGTGATAACGAGCACATGATCAAACCATTCAGGTTTACCTTCTACTAAGTGTTCAGAAACCTGTAAGTAAATTTTAAAATAGAGTACTAAACAATTTTACTAAGCTTGTCTAGAGGCGATTCCAATATGGTAGACAGCAGCAATTTTATATTATTAACATTAAACATGTAGTTAACTTAATGTCCCATAAAATAAAATGTTTTATGTGAGTAATTTTGTAAAAGCTAAAAAGTATACTTACTAATAAAAAGATCAGAAAAATATTTCAATGTAAATGGATAACTATGTTATTAAAATAAATTTTAATATTCTTTATGAAAATTTTTTCTGTATTTAAATAAACTTTTACCTGTCAACATTCTTATTTTAAAAAAATTTGTTGTACCTATTCTTATAGTGATAATTTTTATTTTCTAACAAAAAAAAGTTATTAGGTTTACAATTGATCATAAAAACAACAAAAAGTTTAAACTTTTGACTCTCAAAAAACTTCTTAACAAATAATTTTTTTAGTCACTGCGTAACAAGATAGTAAAAAAGGTTTTACAGTCAGTAATTTTATGGTCTTTTATAAAACTTGAAGATTCAGTTTAAGTACCCTAAAACTTTTGCACAGCTTTTAACTGTGAAAAAGTCTCTGTGTATAGCTTTTAATGGTGCCAAAGTCTCTGTGTATTAAGTATAATAAAGAAAAAAATAAATTAAAAAAATTTCAATTAATCTGAAGATTGAAAAAAAGCAAATTATTAAGCTCAAATCAAAAATGAATAAACAATATAAAACAACAACGAACAATATACAAATAAACAACCAACTTTTGTTATTGTTTTAAATAATAAGAAGGGTTGTAATTCTATTTTAAAAACAGCAAAATTATTGAAAAATTTAAGCATGTTTAAAAATGTTTTAATTAACCCTGATTGAACCAAGGCAAAAAGATATTAAGATGAGTTCTTAAGAAATAAAAAGGAAAACAAATATTTAAAAAACTCTTTGCTGTATCTTCACTTTATTAATTTGGTATACAAAATGACAGTTTTATTAAAATCATAAAATAACAACTACTCTTTAACCTGAAACAGAAAAACTATCGTTGTGTTTTGCAAGTTTGTCATAATAATAATTTCTCCAAACAAATCCCCTAATAAATCAATAAATACAAATAAAGAAAAAACTTTTCATTTTTGTGTTCAAAATATTCTGTTTATTTTTTTTTGATGCAAGAAACCTTGCAAATAATATTTACAAGTTTTTCTTATATACTAAGGCAACTTTAGTTTGAATTAGCAAAACATTTTTCACCAGTAAGTGAAACCACCTCTTCTATCTCTGAGATTAAACAAGATTAATATTCTTTATTGCATATTCTTTAAAGCTTTGTCGATGATAATAAGTTTGAATTATGACATGGATCACAGAGAAGTTTGTACTTTAGATAGAAATATGGCAACTAACAATTGCTAACAGTATTCACATAGCAAATAAATAGTACCTCCTCCGTATATGTAGAGAGATAAAGTAAAACTATAAACTAGGTGATTAAATTTAAGCTTGCTCTTCTAATCCAAAAGATTTAGGAATGACCATGGACATGATAAAACTATAAAAAACATATTGGTAACATCATTCATAAAGCTAACACCAGACCATACATTTTTTTTTTTTTTTTTTGTTATTTACCTCCTCAAGGCCGAGAAGGCCACTACAGATAAGGAGGCTACTCAATAGTGGTTGTAACCCTCTCTCAACTCTATACTCGCTTATGAAGCTAGTGTTTTACCACTAAACCACTACCGCACTTAATTATAAAATGTCTTCTTTGCAAAACCCTTGTTCTCCAAGGGTTTTGCAAAGAAGACATTTGCAATTGTTCTCCAGTTTGGTTATCATACCAAAATGGATTGATTAAAACAGTTAAAGTTTTTGAAAAAAATGTACAAAGAAAATTTGAACTATTATAATCAACTACAGGTTTGGACTCAAATGAAGTCATGCATCTTAAACATAATTTAGTAATATTTTTCAAAATTTTTCACAATCTGGCTAGTACTAGTAATTACTGTTGATCACAAAGAATACAAAATTTTAAAGTTCTATGTTATTTGTGATTTGTGATGTTATTTGTGATTAACAGCAATAACAGCATTTTTATAAAAAGCATGAGCTACATTGTTTCTCAAGAAAGTTTTTCTTACTGAGTTGATGACATCTGGAATAATATGACAATGGATGATGTATACAAAAAAAATACTTCTTTTTAAAAATCAAATTAACTCTTCCAACTTCAAGAAAAAATTTGTATTCTGAAAAGATGTTTTACTTCTTTGCTTATAATTAATTTTGTAGTATTTATAATAATTGTGTAATATGTTTGAGGTCATACATTTTAAATTTATTTAGGGACACACTGTATAAACTTCTGTGTCTTTTAGAACATATTTTATTAAATATGAAATCAAAGATTTTGAACTTATTTCTAAAAAAAAAAACAACGACAAAAAAAAAAAAAGAACTGGCAAAATTCAAAAGAGAGACAATTCAATCATTTTCAAATTCATTGAATCTAATTATTGAACTCAAAATTATTAATAAGTTTGGTTGATTGTGTTATTATGTCAATAAATAAAATTAAATTAAATTATCAAAACGGGTGACAAGAATAGTGTCGAAAAATGAACTTCAGAATAGTGTCGAATATATTAAGTATATATTAAGAAAGGCCTAATGTCACAAAAAAAAGGAATAGTATCGCAAAAAATGAACTTCAGAATAGTGTCGAATATATTAAGTATATATTAAGAAAGGCCTAATGTCACAAAAAAAAGGAATAGTATCGCAAATGAATTTAATGAATAGTGTCGAAAACAAAAAGAAGGAATAGTTTTGCAATGGAATTTAATGAAAACAAAAAAAGGAATAGTGTCACAAGTGAATTTAATGAATAATGTCAAAAACAAAACAAAAAAGAATAGTGTCGGAAATAGTAAAAACAGAATAATGTTGCAAATAGTTAGTTTCAGCAAATACTTACTTGTTTTGCTTATCTTTGTAGCATACAGCTTTAACATGAAAAAAAAGAAAAAGAAAAAAAAATAATAAAAGAAAAGATTGCTACCAAACCCTCAGTCGATGTTGCAACACTCCTTTGTTGCAGCAGGCTATAAGATAGCTGGCGCATGTACTGAAGCCCCTGGCAGCAGGTTATTTCAGTATGACATCAGACATGTTATCTAAACACACATTTATAGTTAATATCATTTTTTTTTGTTTTTAATACTATTTATTAAACTCCTTTACGACATTATTCCTATTTTGTATTTTCGATACTATTCATTAAATTCATTTGTGACATTATTCCTTATTCTGTTATTCGACAATCAATATTGCAACAATTTGTGACACTATTCCTTTTTTACATTTTTGACAATTAAATTTGCGACAATAAAAATTTTGCAATACTATTCCACCACACCATCAAAACCTCTCATCATTTTTTTCTAAGAGCAGAAACGGCTGATTAAGCCAATACTAAATATGTGTGCTTGGTGAAGGATAACAAATCATGAATGGTCAATGTCCTCTTACTTTAAAAAGTTATCGAAAAGAAACAGAAAAGATGCATTTTTGGCATCAGTTCAGAAAATATTGCATTGTTTGAAATTTTTATGTGTACAATGAATTTGAATAAAAATTTCATCATTGCTGATAAAGTTTTACAAACCAAGACTTTGTTTACCATAGTAATTCTGGTAGAATTACCAACACCAACAATTTTTTTAAGCCAGGTAATTAAGGGTTATGCATAAAAAATTTATTCAAGTTAAAATTTTAATTAATAGAAAACATTCAACCTAATTATTAACATTACAACAATTCAACCTAATTATTAACATTAAAAGAAAAAAACACTGTACTACTGATCAAGAATTTATGACTTTCTTAAAAAAATTCCATTTGTCTTATTTAAAGTTTTTCATTCTACAATTTTTATATATATATATATATATATATATATATATATATATATATATATATATATATATATATATATATATATATATATATATATATATATATATATATAATATATATATATATATATATATATATATATATATATATATATAATATATATATATATATATATATATAAATATATATATATATATATATATATATATATATATATATATATATATCAGGCTTGGTCGGGAAGTGGGTGCGATTGCACTCGATAACTGACCACGGAAATAATATTTAGTTGCGAAAAACTGGCCGGATTTTTTAGTCGTTTTGAGAACATTGAAGTTTATGTATGTTTCCTTGTTTGTTCGCAAAATAATAAGTTCATTTTGTCTTAAATTTTAAAATATTTTGTTTTACGAACTTACATGGAAAGGTAAATAAACTTGAATGTTCTCAAACATCTTAGTGTGGAAAAATAAAAAAAGAATATTCGCAAACACAAAAAACCCGCCAAATCTACAAACAACCAATTCTATTGGTTCAAAAAATACTAACCGAAATTTCTAGAGTATTCAAAAAAAACTAACCGAATGTCCTCAATATTCTGTTGAAATATTTTAAAAAACTGTATTATTTGAGTTTTGTTATGTTTTTGTTAAGTTTTCTAGCATAAATTATTTTAAGAGTATACTATCAAACGAACTATTATTTTAATTCTTTGAGCCACATCTGCAAAGGTATAAATAGTTTAAAGTAACATTTGTTTACAATAATAAATGTTTTGAATTTATATTTTTTAACTTGTCAACGTTTTGTAAATATATTTTAGATTTTATTAGTATATCATTATTTTTTATATATAAGGGATGTATTTTTTATGTATGTAATGTATTTTTATATATGTAGTGTATTTTTATCTATGTAATTTTATCTATGTGTATTTTATTCAATACACATAGATAAAATATTCATGTAATCTTTTAAGGCAATTTGTGCGATTGATTTTGTAAACAAAAATACTTTCAATAATAACTGCGTTTTCAATGAAATTATTAATAATCGTCATAGTTAATACAAATAATTTTAACCACTAATCCATTTACCTCAGTGTACCCGATAACTGATTCTTTCTCCTAAGAAAGAAAAGTTTTTAAGTTCTTAGAAATTGGTTTACTAACTTCAATTTTTGCTTCAGCCATTCTTACAAACTCGTTATACTTAAAGTTACTTTTTTCTGTTTTAAATACTAATTAAAATTATGAAGTCTACTCACTAAACGTCATCAGCGGTATTGTGAAGCAGTTCCGCTTCCTCCTCACAAAGTAATTTAACGTTTTTTGTTAATTTCTATCTAACTAATTGAATTTCTACAGTAACTCAATGATTTAATTATTTCATTTGTTCATCTTATTAAGAATGATTTAATTATTTCATTTGTTCATCTTATTAAACTTTTTAAACTACGCGAAGCATAAAACAGTTATTGAAAAAACTTTTTTACTTATAAATAAATCATCTAGCGTTAGTTTTATTGGTTGAATCTTGTTGGACCTTTCAGGGCCGGGGGCTGCATTATTTTGGCGGCCTTTTTTATGTGCCACAGCGTAAAAATGACTTAGAAAAATACCGAATGGTCTTCTTGACTATTTCCCCTAACATTGTGAGTCCCGCGGCTAAAGCCCTACTACCCCCACCCCACCTCCTCAATCCAGCACTGAAAATAAGACATAAGTATATAAATAAAAATTATATATACTCTTTGATAAATCAAAAAAACATTTGTTTTTTTATAGTTGTTACTTTATATAAAAAATGTCGCTTTATTTTATAAAAAAAGTTATAAAAGAGCGACGTTTTAAAAATAATTTCTCTTTGCGTTTTTTGGCGTTAAAAGCTATTTTTCTTTTTTTAACTGTCTCTCGTCGGTCCAGTTAATCTTATTGCGCTTTTTTGTTTGCTTTTGAAATGTTCTCAAAATGACTAAAAAATCTGGCCAGTTTTTCAAAACTAAATAATATTTTCGTAGTCAATTATCGAGTGCGATCGCACCCGCTTCGCGACCAAGCCTGATATATATATATATATATATATATATATATATATATATATATATATATTATGCGCTAATATATATATATATATATATATATATACATATATATACATATATATATATATATATATATATATATATATATATATATATATATATATATATATATATATATATATATATGCGCTAATATATATATATATATATATATATATATATACATATATATATATATATATATATATATATATATATATATATATATATATATATATATAAATATATATTAGCACATAATATATATATATATATATATATATATTAGCACATATATATATATATATATATATATATATATATATATATATATATATATATATATATATATATATATATATATAATGACTGGTCTACGTCAACAAACAAATAAACTAATTTTATTCAAAGGTTATATTATTTTTATTCAAAAATAATATACTAGGTTGGTTGAAAAGTTCGCGGAGCGGAAATGAAAAAACAATTTTATGATTCAAAAAATGACTTTATTCTTCAGTATATTCTCCCTTAAGAGCAATACACTTTTTCCAACGATTCTCCAATTCATGTATCCCATCTCTGAAGTGCGATTCCGGAAGGCCTTCAAAATACCCATTTACGGCTGCAATGACTTCTTCATGTGATGAGAAACGCTTTCCACGTAGAAATTTTTTGAGATGTGGAAAGAGGTGGAAGTCGGACGGAGCCAGATCTGGTGAATAGGGTGGATGTTTCAAGCGTTCGTACTTTAATTCGACCAATTTCGCCTTTGCAATATCGCTGATATGAGCAGGTGCGTTGTCCTGGTGATAAATGATTTTTTTATGCAGCAAACCAGGTCTTTTCTCACGAATTTTTTTATCCAACTGGTCCAAAAGATTTTTATAATATTCACCTGTTATCGTTTTACCAGTTTGAAGGTAATCTATTAATAAAATTCCTTTCGCATCCCAAAAAACTGATGCCATAACCTTCTTTGACGATTTTGACACCTTCACTTGCTTCGGAGCAGAACAACCGGGTTCTGTCCACTCTGCAGTTTGTTGTCGCAGCTTCGGATCATAGTGGTAAACCCAAGTCTCATCCATGGTTACGAATCGACGCACAAAATCTGTTTTATTCTTTTGAAAACGGGCCAAATGTTCTTGAGAAAGTTTTACTCGAGTGCGTTTTTGATCCAGAGTTAGCGAATGCGGCACCCATCTTGCCAACAGCTTTCTCAGACGTAATTCATCGTGCAAGATGTGTAATACCCGTTCATCTGAGATGCCCACAGCCTCAGCAATTTCACGTTTGGTCAATCGTCTATCATCCATAACCATGTCATGCACAGCATTAATCGTTTCTTCAGTAGTAGCACTTTTTGGACGTCCAGAGCGAGGGTCATCTTCAAGGCTTGAACGCCCACGTTGAAACTCCGCAGCCCATTTGCATACTGTTGTTTTTGAAGGAGCATCATCACCCAACACATTTACCATCTCATTATGAATTTCCATGGGCTTTAAACCTTTTTTCACAAAGAATTTTATTACAGCACGATGTTCAATATTTTCCATTTTAAAAAATACTATGACACGTCTAATTTCAATAGCTTGTAAACAAAGACTGAAATGACATATCAACTTGAAATTTTTTATGCGTTCATACGAAGAATGAATACGTTTAATACAGTTATAAATTTGTTTCTACTACTGCAACATAGGTGCCGCTCCGCAAACTTTTCAACCAACCTAGTATATATATATATATATATATATATATATATATATATATATATATATATATATATACAAATATATATATATATAAATATATATATATATAAATATATATATATATATATATATATATATATATATATATATATATATATATATATATATTAGCGCATGTGATGAATAAAATTGCCCAACGTGATATTTCCCGCTCGTAATACTGAAATATGTTATCAACGAGGGTGATTATGTGTGCTCGATATCAAGTCTTCAAGAACGATATTCGAAGTTGAAAATTGGTTGCCATGGAAATATCCATAATTTGGATATGCAAGTATGGGGGGTCACTCAAAAATGTACCAGTTCATACAAGGAAAAGGGTGGGCGATTTTTGTTTAAATTTTTTTCATGTGAAGTCCGGGAAATCAGACAAAAAAGCTTTAGTTTTTTAGTTATTGCATTTGTCTATCTACCGGAAAAATGTTACTGCAGCTTTGATATTAAATTAAAACAATAAAACATTGCCATTTATTAAAGATGACTACATAACTTTGCTTCCTTTTCAGAATTAAATTAACATGCTTGACTGCGGACATTTTAAACAACAGAAATGTTTTTAATTTAGTTTAAAATAAATAATAGTTAAAAAATATATATATTAAAAATATTTCTTTCATTTACAATAGATGTGTGAAAAATTAAAAACAATAAAGCAAAAGAATCTAACCTTGTATAATAAAGCAAAAGAATCTAATCTTGTGGATTAAAACTTTTGATTTTTTAAAATTTAATCAAGTTTTAATTTTTAAATTTAAATTTTTAATTATCATTATGACAAAATATTTTCAAAATAGTAAACATTACATTCTATCTGTTAGCAGTAATGACTTCATTTATTGTTTGTACAAAATAGAAAACTGCTTTCTAATTTAAACTGAATGTGCCATTTAAATATTATCAAGTAAATAATACTTTATATACTTGATTATATACTTAATAAATATATATTAGACTTATACTAATATAATATATATTGTTGTAAGTATATATATATACTTAAACAAATATAATATATAAATAACTTATACACTGACTAATTTTGAGAAATGCGTTTGTGAAACTAATGACATAACATTTTTTCTTTTGTTGTTTTACGCTAGGTTTTTATTAATATTACGCTAGATATTTAATTTTTTAACATTTAAGTTTGAAATTTTAATTAAAGTGTTGCAAGTTTTGATATTCATTAAATGGACCTTTATGCGAGTAAAAGTAAAAGTTTTTTGTCAAATGGACCCTAAAAAAATAAGCAACTTAACCAGGGTATGATTGAGCGGATAATATGATAAAGTTAAACTGGAAATTTAAAAAAAAAACATGCTGGATTTAGTTTTTAAATAGAAGAAAATAAATCATTTTAAATTTGAACTTATAAATCAAAATTGAAGTAAGTCACGCATAAATCCCATAAATCAAAATTGAAGTAAGTCACGCATAAATTATGCATGACATACTTTATGAATTATGAATATAACTTCTTTATTTAACTAGCGAGTGCTATTTATTGCACCCGGATGGTTTATGGGCGTGTTTCACGTGCAAGGAACAATTGCTCCCGCTTCATCACAAGGCCTGATATATATATAATTATTGAACATATATACAATTATTGAACAAATATACAATTTAACTTACCTTTGTCAACATATGATCTTGTTTAAGCATAGGCTCTTTAAATAATCTGCTGCTATGGTTGTTGAATGGCTCATTAACTTCAAATAAACTTACACACTTGTCTTTACGATTTTGTTTTCCTTTTATTTTCTGCACTAATCTACCATTTCTAATGTAAGATCTTTTTTCTTTATGTACTAAATCAAGCTCATTTATACCACCATCAGGCATATCGCGAGAACTTAATAAAGATGGAGAAGAAACACTTTTGATTTTGTTTAAGTTACTTGACGGCACAGCATTTTTTGAATTTAAAAAATTGTCATGATGGTCATTTGCTCTGCTTACTTTTTTTTTAGCAAACCAATCTTCTTGAAAATTGTTGGTAATAGAATCTTCATTAACATTTTTATTTGTTTCAAAGATTGTTGTTAACAATTTAGAATTTTCACTAAAACCTTTCTGTTTAATTTTTTCATCCTGAATTAAGTTTTCCTTGTTTTGGTTTTTAAAAAGATTTTCATTAGGCACATTGCACATTTCTGTTTTTGGTTTTATAAAAGGTACATTAGGTTCTCTACCCTTTTTATTTTCATTTATATTGTCAGATTTATTGTTATATCCAGGATGGCTATTTTGTTTACTAAGAATATCATTTTTTAAAAAATTTGTTGGTATGTTTTCATCTTTTGGTATAAATCTTTGAGCAGGTAATGGCAAAGGCTTTTTTTTCTCTTTAACAACATTATTCATTATCTCTAAAATAAATGCCATATATATATATATATATATATATATATATATATATATATATATATATATATATATATATATATATATATATATATATATATATATACATATATATACATATATACGATCTCAAAAAGATTGAGTTCAACAAATTATTGCCGACCTCATTTTTCTTAATTCCGAGGGTTGCTTTTATATATATATATATATATATATATATATATATATATATATATATATATATATATATATATATATATATATGTACTTAAATTAGTATAAAAATCACTTAACAAAATTTTTTTATTTAAAACTGTGTTTCATTAATAAAGACTCATCAGAAATCTGTTTTCTGATGAGTCTTTATTGATGAAACAGTGTTTGAATGAAAAATTTTTGCTAAGCGATTTTCTACTAAATTATTATTGCTTTGTTCTTATAAGAAAATTGAGCACTCTATTTTGTAGAACAAATAATAAAATTATATATATATATATATATATATATATATATATATATATATATATATATATATATATATATATATATATATATATATATATATGTATATATATATATATATATATATATATATATATAGGCCTTGGCGGGAAGCGAGAGCTCTCACTCTCGCCACACTCCCCTGAAACGGTTTACGAGAGCTATTTACGGCTCTAGCAAAAGTATCATTTTTCTCATAAAAATATATTTATCATTTTAGATAAAAAAAAAAACAAAAAAACAATGTCATATAAAAAAAAAAAATTGCATAATATACTGAAATGCTTTTTAAAATGCCACGGTTAATGCAAAAAAAAATTAGAATTAAAATATAGCGCCAATTTAAATGAGGAGCAGCTTGCACAGCTCCCCAAGTTTGTTTTAGGAGAGCTTTTCTTCGCTCTCGTACTCATTTATTCCTGCCGAGGCCTGTATATATATTTGGGGTGGTTCAAAAAACAACATTAAAAATGTCTGCAGCTTGTACCTTAATGTGTTCTATGATAAAATAACACTTTAAAAGTTTTAAAAGATTTAATAGTTTTTTGAATAAAATATATATATATATATATATATATATATATATATATATATATATATATATATACACACACACACACACACACACACACACACACACACACACACACACACACACACACACACACACACACACACACACACACACACACACACACACACGCACGCACACACACACACACATAAATTCAGCATTAATTGCACACTAATGGCATCATACCAAAACAGAAAGCTGTGGGCGCTTCAATATACATCAACTATCTTACAGCCTGCTACCACAAAGGAGTGCTGCAACATTGACTAAAGGTTTGGCAGGGGACAGCAATCTTTTTCTGAAAAACCAAAGCGCACTTTCCTATTTTTTTAAATGCAATTTCCTAATTTTTAGAAAATTAGGAAATTGCGTTCTTAGGTATGAATTGTTCATGATACAGTGTTTTTTCATGATACAGTACTGCCCGATGCTAAACCTTCAGTCAATATAGCGGCAATCGTATGTGGAAGCAGGCTATAAGATAGTCGATATATGTACTGAAGCCCCCAGCAGCATTGTAATGCCTCAGAGTGCTTATTTAAACATGCATTAATAACACTGAATAACAAAAAAAAAAATTTGGAAAATATCTTGGAAACCAACACTTGTTTTAAGACAAGTAAGACATGCTGATTACAAATATAGAAACCGTTTGTCTTTATCACCCACCGTTGTTGAGTTATTTGGCATTGACCATTTATATATGTTTAATATTGTATCAAAGCAAACAACTCGCAGGCAAGTTACAGTAGAGCATATATCGCTGAATAGTGTACTACTTAACATATATACACATAGTTTAAAATATAATACACTTGTAAAATACATAGGTATAACATAAAGTTCCTTGAATTAAAAGTTAGTTTGGTTTGAATTTCTTGGCTGTAGACTTGCGTTTGTGCTGACAATTTGGCATGTTGCGCTGAAGCATCCAGCAATAGTCGGCTAACATTGCTGCACTCCATCGGCCTTGATAGCGTGACTCTATCACCGAGATGTCCTGATGGAAACGTTCACCATGTTCATCACTAACAGAACCTAGGTTTTCTGGAAAGAAGTCGAGATGTGAGTTGAGGAGATGAATCTTGAGGGACATGTTACAACCCATTAACTTGTACGCACTAATGCACTTCTGCACAATATTTACATAGTCAGGAGATTTATTATTTCCAAGGAAATTGGCTACAACAGACTTAAATGCCAACCATGCTTTTTTTTCAGTTCTGCTGAGTAAATCTTCGAAGTGACTGTCTGCTATGATCTTCCTTATTTGTGGACCTATGAATACACCTTCTTTCACTTTCGCATAACTCAACTCTGGAAACTTGTTGCATAGGTACCGAAAAGCATCTGAGTTTTTGTCTAATGCCTTCACGAAGTTTTTCATGAGCCCCAGCTTTATATGAAGTGGAGGCATAAGAACTTTTTCACGCTCAACCAATGGCACATGCAGGACGTTTTTACTACCTGGCTCCATTTTATCTCTAATGGGCCAATTCTTATTAATATAGTGGTGCTTCTTATCTCTGCTGTCCCACTCGCAGATAAAGCAGCAGTACTTGGTGTACCCTGTCTGCATTCCCATGAGAATAGTGATCACTTTTAAACCACCACACATATTCCAATTGTAATCGCGATAGCAAATTTTTTCAAGAAGTAGCGACATGGTTTCGTACGTCTCTTTTAGATGAGTAGAATAACCAACCGGTACTGATGCATACATGTTTCCATTGTGTAATAATACAGCCTTCAAACTTGCCTTGGAGGAATCAATAAATAGACGCCATGCTTCAGTCTTATGTTCTACACCCAGGCTTGACATAAGACCTTGGATGTCAGTGCAGTAGCACATATTGTCACTTATTGCAAAGAACTGCACGAGTTCTTTGTGTCTATGTCGAAATTGTGAAGTTCTTGTACCTGGTGATTGCAAATTAAACTCTTTCAGACGTGAACCTAGCAGTTCAGCTTGACCTTTTGTTAGTGCCAGGTCCCGTACAAGGTCGCAAAGATCATCATTATTAATCAAATGAATTTCATCATCATCAGGATTGTAGTCAGAGTCTGCCATGTTGCTAGAAGACGAACTTTCTTCTTGTGTTGCATCATCGAATCTATATTCTGTAAGTGATGTTGGTATTGGACAACTGACTGGATCATGTGGAATTGGTTTTGAAACCGAGGGAATATCTGGATACTTCACAGATGAACAAGTCTTGTATGAGAAACCTGTGACATTTGTCAAACAGAAATAACAGTCAGTGATGTGGTTGCTTGACTCACACCATATCATAGGAACTCCAAATGCCAGATGGTTGTTATTTTTAGCATTCCTTATCCAACCCCATAAGTTGCATGCACATGTCAAACAAATGAACTGTGGTGCCCATGACTTGCCGCTGTCAACCTTGTGAATCAAAGTATAGTTCATAAGCTTTTCTCAGAAATAGTGTAAATGTCTTTCGGTGGCCTTTGTCTGTGAGAAAAACGGTTTTCAGATTTGTAATCAGCATGAAAAATTGCTTTAGAAAATGTAATCATCAAACAAGATATTTTTGGGTTGTTATTCAGTGTAATTATGTGTGTGTGTGTGTGTGTGTGTGTGTGTGTGTGTGTGTGTGTGTGTGTGTGTGTGTGTGTGTGTGTGTGCGTGAATATATATATATATATATATATATATATATATATATATATATATATATATATATATATATATATATATATATATATATATATATATATATATATATATATATATATATATATATATATATGGGCACCTATGAAGGATAGTTGTTATAGAAAAATGTCTAACCAAAGTTAATAAAAAGATATTCTAAGAAATATTATTAACTTTAAGATTAATTTATACATACATTGAAAAAAAATACTTTTTATAAAAGATAATATTTTCTATTTCATGAAAAAAATTAAAAAATCTAATAAAACTCTTTTGTTACTGTTACTACAAAATGTTGTTATTCCAAAATGTTCATCGATTTCACATTGTGAGAAACTTTTCAGTTTTTCATAAACTTATTCAATAACACTTTACAAACTTTTCCAAAAGTTTGGGTCCATCTCTAACTTTCTTTGAAACAGTTCATACCATTTCTGTAAGGAGCTGATTGGAATGAACATTTCATTTGACGAAATTTGACTTTGTTGCACAGCAAAAGAACAACAATAATTAAATGCATTAATCATCATTTTTTGTGTGAATTCAACAAATGAACTTAATGTAGAAATATCTGTATTTGTTGGAGTCTTCTGCAAAACCTCATTTAAAGGTTCTATAGCTATACCAACTTGTGCAGTAGCATTACAGTTGACTGGATGAGCACCATCAAAAATGTTCATTTGAGTGCCACTATTTTTAGGCTAAAACAACATAAAATTTTTTACAGTAAATGTAACTTTTCTGATTAACAATTTAAATAAGCATAATAACTTATCATATTAATATTAACACACACACACGCACACTTACACAAACACACACACACATATGTAAAAAAAAATTCCAATGCTTTACATCTGGTACTGGCACATCACATTTGAATATTTGAGTAAATTTACACTTTTTATCATTTTTCTAATAAATCAAAAAAATAAAATAAATTCTATATTAAGTAGCTAGAATCTATTTATGTAGAACAATGTAACAATGTATTGGAATGATAAACAAAAACAATAATCATTTTTAGTTTAAAACTATTTATCTGATTGTTTTTAATTGCAGTTTTTATACTTTATATTTTGTTACTTTCTATTGATTGTTCTTCTCTAGAATTAGAGATGCAACTGTTACAGAGGATAGCTGTTACAGAGGATAGCTGTTACAGAGGATAGCTATTACAGAGGATAGCTGTTACAGAGGATAGCTGTTACAGAGGATAGCTGTTACAGAGGATAGCTGTTACAGAGGATAGCTGTTACAGAGGATAGCTGTTATAAGTTTCTTTTATTGTTCTACTGTTGGTATGACAGAATAATGTTTCAAAAGTTACACTCAGTTGCTGTGTAACCTGCTTAGTCATTTGACCAAATCTCTATATCCAAGACAGAAAAAGTTTTACCAGAAGCATAACTTTGTTCAAGGCAATTATGTCGATGTAGTTGATAGCAACAAAAACATTTTATTTCTAATTAACTTTCTTTATTAAGGTAACCTTCCCGTTTCTATAACTTTTATAAACCTAGTTCTCTTATATGAATTTTTCCGGATAGACAAAAAGGGCATTTTTATCAATTATTGGTTTCATTAATTTCAACAAAATGTCCTTTTAATATTATATATTACCACTTCATATTATTACCACTTCAAATAAATGTTGTAGTTCATTTGTAAAGTATTTACTTTCAATTATATAGAATCATGCAAGGACACAAAATATGAGGACTTGCATAGCCAGTACATAGCCAGATAATAAATCAAAATGTTTTCTGAAAACTTGACTTTAAAAATTTAATTTTAAATAAAGATTTTACTTTAGTATGACCATATATTATTACGTTAATTTCTTCTAATGTAACTAACAATTATAAGGATGTTAGTTTGTAAAAACAATTCAAATATTTAGCTTAATCATTTTTTATAAAAAAATGAATTATTTGGTTTAGCAATATCAATCCTCTCTTCTCCTCATATAAAAGTAATATAAAAGAACTTATGATATTGGTTTTTCTGTTGAAAACCTCTGTTGGATTTTCAATGCTCAAATACAGTTGTAGATATATACTTTTAGTTCTTAAACACTTTGATTGTGAAAGTCTATCAGTTTCATGAACAGATACATCTTCGAAACAGCTGCTTTATTCAACAGCTTAATTACTAAACAAGAACTCATGATCTTTACTTAAAATTGTTTGGTTAACTTGTCTCACAAACAACAAGAACTGCTACCTTTACTTAAAATTGTGTGGTCAACTTGTCTCACAAACAACACAAAAAGGTTTTACCTCTTGTTATTTTTCAATTTTATTGCTCTGCATTCAAAGGTGTGAATGGTTATTTACGTTTTTTCTTCTCTCTTTTCTAGTTCTCTATTTGAAAGTGTGAAGTGCAGTTATTTGTGTAATTACACTTTACTTTTGTTATTATATTTGGTCACAATACCAAAATCTTGCAAAACACCTAGGACAATTGCTTTTGTTGCTCTGTGTGATAATCAATAGCGAGCGCTAGTTAGAGCTGTTTCTAGCATTTTTTTGTTTCTTGCTTGAATACTGATGATTTTGAATAGAAAACAAAGAAAGAAAACTATTATATTTTTAATAATTTTCAAAAATTTAATCATCTTTTTGCAATTTTAACCAAGCAGAAAAATATTTTTTACTCGTAAATAATTTTTATTTCATTTACCATATCAACAATGTTAACATTAAATAGTCCCTAGCAGCTTGTTATATAACTTATTTTATTTTATTCCATTTATTGGAATAAAATGGCAAAAAGTGTATAGTTATTTAACTGCTCAAGTACAATGCGCTCGCTCCAGACATAAAATGATTGGATCGATTTTTTTGCATTTTCCTTAGATACCCTAGAGGCAAATTTTCTGTTATATAGCAAACCTATATTTTAATACCATTTTCTTTTGCCAACTGGTAGTATTTTAAAAATGCACAAACTCATGATGAAACTAAAAAAACGTGGTTTTTAAACACGATAGCGTTGAGGCCCAATACACAGCAATTAAAAATTTGTTAGATGCTTCTTATCTCATACAGTTCACTTACTTCAAGCCCTGGCTGTATAAAAAGGGTTTGTACAAGGTTAGCTAAGTTTCCTGGCCGACCATTATTCTTGTTAACCTCCTGCCATCATATTGGAGAACTTCATATAGCCAGAGCCATAAATTAAACTGTTAAACTGGGGAATAAACTATTTATATAATAATAAACCATAAAAGGTTAAAAAACGGTAAGGTAAAGATAAAACTGCTTCACTTTAAAATATCTTTTTGCAAAAACAAAATGTATAAGTTTCTATTTTTACATATAGACTTTTGAGAAGAGCAGAGATTGTGAACTTGCGGGAAAAAATCAGACCATTAGGTGAAAATTAACAAAAATGGAGCTGTTTCACACGCCTTGAATTTCATAAAATTCAAGTTTGCATTTCTCTAAAAACAGGCAGATTTTTATTCTGAGTAATAAAATACTCAAAGAGATCAATAGAATGGCCGACTAAATTTCTCTCTCCAGGGAATCACGGTTTTTGACTTGAGACTTCTTAGATTCTGCAATTTTTAAAGTAAAATTTAATTTCATAAGTTTTGATATTTTAGTCTTATTACTTAAGAATAATTTATGTCATTAAGTAACAAATTGTTTAAAAACAATAATTTAAAATCAGATGTAAAATACAAAAAAAAAAACTCTAAACCAATTTTTTTTTCTTATGACAGACTTCTTAAAATCAGTAGAAATATAATAAAAATGGTATCAATAGAAATAACAGTTTGATTTTATCTTGTCAAAAATAAATGCAATAAGTATTTAGCAATGTCATTTTAAACAAGGGATCTGCAAATTACCTTTTTTGGTATCGAACCGAATCACAAATTGAAGCAGGCATTAAATTGCAAATTGAATCAAATCTTGATTCAAATCAGCATTTTGAGGATATCTATGTTTTAGTTAAACAAAAAGATTTCCTCTAAATGCTGATTGGACTGGTGTGATTAAATTCAATTTGCAAATCGAGACCTGCTTCAAATTGTGATTTGATTCGAAACTAAAAAAGGTGATTCCAAGGGCCCTATTTTAAACCTTATTTTATCTACATTGCATTGTTTTTAATTTACATCTTTAAGATCAACAAGACTATTGGCAGATGTATATTGAGCCTGCTGCAAAGGTGAAATTTAAATCATGGTAAAACCACAGAGGTGTCTGGCGTTGACTGCTTCCTCGCTTTCTAGTTATTGAATGATTCTGATAAATTGAATTTTGATCTGATATCTAACTGCAAACTCTGAACCTTAAAAGTAATTTTAAAAATTATTTTTTTACATATTTTCTCAAGATATTTTTCTTAAGCTGAAAATTTTTTTGTATATAAATATTCATTGCACTTTTACAGCATTTAAACACTGAATTTTGAAGCAAACTTGCTTTACAAACAAGAGATTTATGGCAGTGACAGATCCAGCATTTTTTGGTGTTAGAGATATTAATTGAAATATTTGTATGTTTATACCTTTAATAAATAATGGCACTTTTTAAAAAGTTGCAATGATTGGAGGCTGGGAACAAAAAAAAACCTAAAATTTAATCCTCCTGCCCCAAACGTGAAAGTAACAAGTTGATGAAATAATTTTTTTGCTATTCTTAACTAAATTTATATTCATCAATAAATTTTAAGTATTGTTTTACAATCTCTAAGCATTCAAAAATTATGACTATAAAAAATTTGTAACCTCCTCAAATTGAGGGGGGTTAAACTTTATATAGTTATAATTTATGAACTCTGAGAGATATTACTATGAAACTTAAATTTTATCAATGAATATAAATAAAGTTAAGAAATTCTAAAAATTATTTTACTAACTTGTTGCTCTCACAATTTTTTTTTAGTTTCCAGTCTCCAATCATTGCAATATTTTGTGAAGCATCATTATTTGACATAAGTATAAACATACAAATGTTTCAAGTTTGCGCCATGTCTGTTCGCTATCTCAAACACCAAAAAATGCTTTTTGGTGTTTGAGTGACGCAAAAAAAATTTTTTTGCGTCACTCATTTTTTTTTATAGATGAATGAAATAAAAGTTTAATTGTAACTTTTCTTTGAATAAATGGGAATTGGAAGAGAAAATTGCTTGAAAACTTGTAAATTTCAATTTTGTTAGTTTTTTAATTTTCCATGCTAAGAGACAAATGCCAAATACGACACATAAATTGGGAAATACCAAATATAATATGTTTTTTAACCCGCGTTATGACATTTTGACAATTTAAATTACCATCTATTTTGAATTATTGCCATTATTTAATGTGTTAATTATTGCATTAATTAATAATAATTTGTTCATATTTTTGTTAAATGTTAATTGTATAAAACAGGCAAAAATATACGTACTTCATGTTTTTAATTTGATGGTTATAAAATATTGAACAGTAAACTTATAATATAATGCTGACTTAGGCGGTTATTGATTGTACTTGTAATGCAAAACCAGGATCTCACATATCCTTTCACAAATTTTCATATCTGTATTGTTTATAACATTCATAACTTTAACAGGTTAATTGGTATGGAGTTGCCGACATTTTAAAAGTTTTGTTATCAAAATTCAAATGCAAAATATGATATTTCCTTTTTACCCATTTATCCATATCAAATTTAGCAAATTTAGCAATTTAAATTAAATTAGCGTAATTAAAAACTTTTATATTATTAAAAAACTTAACAGTTCTGCGCTCTCTTGCACAAAAAGGAGAGACCGTATATACAATATTCTACATAATGTAAAATAATGAAAATCATAAGATTGGTAAGTAAAGCTTTAATAGTTTTAATTTAAAAACAAAAGAAATATAATATATAAATCTAAAAATTATTAAGATATCTGTAAAAAATAAGTTGCCCCTATATAATAAAAATAATTAATATTTTTACAATTTTTTTTTTGCGATGTTTGGAAAATAATGCAAATAAATTTGTTTTGCTGTATGTTAAAAAAATTCTACAACATACTTTTTGAATCAAAGTAGAAAAACGCAGCTTTGTTTAATTTCATTTGTCAAAAGTCTACCATGACATCAAATACTAAAACTTTTATGAATTAAAAGCGCTTCAAAGGAATCGCTGAAGTCTGTAGATTGCGATGTATAATTTAAAGACTCTGAGTTTTTGAGTAAAATGGAGAAGGTGAGCTTCGGCTAAAACAACAAGATTAGTTTTTCTTGGTATGCATTCATTATTTATTTTTAATTAAAAAAATTTGGTTCAAACTTTTTTTTCAACATTATCTTTATGAACACAACATGTGTTGGGAGTTTGGGATCCTTTTAAACAAAAATACAATTTTATTTTTATTCTTTTACAAATTTTATTTAAGGATTTATAGATAAAGTAATAGAATTAAATTTGTCAAAAAACACTTTGACAGGTCTAGTTAAGAAGTGTTACGCAACTTGCATTTTGTATGAAAGCATTCAGTAGTTATGTTAAGCGAAAACTTTTTTTTTTGAAATATTTAAATTATCTTTTAAAATCGTTTATGCAACGTTTATTCAGACTTCTAATCGTTTATGCAACGCTTATTCAGAAAATATTAGGTCGTAAAAAAATAGCATTTAACAACAAATGTTAATTTTTTAAAGAAACAAATTGTTTTATATAAAATTTTTCTAATTAAAGACTTTAAATCAAATATGATTTTAAAAGTTTAAATTTAGTTTTGAAGGAATGTAAAATAGTTTTACAATTTTTATCTAAGTTTTTTACTTATCATCTGCTAACTATATACACTACCACCCATAATTATTGGAATGACATAAACTTTTTTCAAAAAATGCTTAATTTTAATAATTCTTTATTTATTTATTTTTTTTGCATTATAGTATTTTGATTAAAATGTTTTGATAGAAATCATAAGAATAATAAAAATACTGAAGTGGGTAAAACTAAATGAAAAATGGATTATCAATGACTGTAAACGTGGACCAACGTGTCAAAATTTTAATTCTATGTTTTCAAGAGAAGATAGTTCAAAGAAAAGCTGTTGAACGTATCATAAAGCAGTATGTACTGTTGACTGTGAAACATGGTAGATGTAGTGTTAAGGTGTGGGGGTGTTTTGGTTGAAATGCCCCAGGTGATATTATAAAAATAGAAGGAATGATGACAAAAGTAGTGTACTCGGACATATTTAAAAAGTCATGCTATTTCTTTTGAAAGTTGGACTAATGGGAAGCCATTTATTTTTAAGAAGAAAACAACCCAAAGCTTAAATCCAAAACATAATCTTCAGAACATTGTATAAGTTAGAAACAGTAGAGAATAATCAAATGTTGAATAAAATGGCCTACCAAGTCACCAGACCTCTCTCCTATAGGAATCTTTATAGTAATTTTTATTTTTATTAACTTTTCCATCAAAAATGCTCATTAAAAGAAAAAGATAAAAGATATTATATGATGTGTAAAAAAAAAACTATAAAAGTAATTTAATAAAAAAAATTTTTATCTGGCACAGACAATTTCTCATAACAAATAATAACAAAAATAACTAGCGAAGTTATAAATAAATTAAAAAAAATATATATATATATATATATATATATATATATATATATATATATATATATATATATATATATATATATATATATATATATATATATATATATATATATATATATATATATATATATATATATAGTTACACCAGCCTTATATAATTAACAGATTGTGCAATATCAAAAAAGTAAAAACAGAAATTTCTTTATAATTTAGAAAAAATTTTGAATAAAAAAGTTATTTAAATTCCTTGTAAACATGTTATAATACTGCATCAAAAAATGTGTATAAAGTGAACTAAATACACCTTAAAGAAGCTTGGTGGACAAAAAACACAATAAAAAAGCTAGGTTAAAAAAATTAAAAGAAGCTAACAGGTGGTAAGTGGGAAATAGGACAAAGTTTAGCAGACCAAAATCATTTTGTATCAAATTATTTATGTTAATGTAAACTACCTATTTTGAAGAAAATTTCTGTTTGATTTATCTGTATTTGCTTTAAAAATCATTTTCAAAAATAAAATCAAAATGCATCAAAAAATACGAGACACGATCTATTACATACTTGTTCATCTATTGGCTAGATGTATGAGTTTCACCTAGCCAATAAATCAGAGGCAAAACCATTCACTCTTAAGCACTTTGTAGCTGAGAAAATGCTGAGAAGTACAATCTACCGGATTATTGACCAAACTGGAAATGAATCTGACCACCAAATATCGACCAAACTGGAAATGAATCTGACCACCAAAAATCGACCAAACTGGAAATGAATCTGACCACCAAAGTGCTAAGGGTAGTGGCAAAAAACAGGAAATCATGACCAAAACCAATGTAAAGCAACTAAAAATGAAATTTGACCATAAGGATGCCGTTTCACAAAACCAAGCAACTCGACAACTTAAATGCAGTCATCAATACATTTCCCTGACACTTAAAAGCAAGTCTTCTATCCATACAAGAAAATCAAGATTCCGAAGCAAATGGAGGACCAAAGATTAGACCAAGATGTTGTCCGCTGTATGAAAAGTTGCAAAAAAATATTGCATTTTGGACGACTTTATCTCACTCACACATTAACCACAACGGCACTTTCTACACCAGCAATGTTTCAGTAACTCCTGCAAGTGTCAAGTATGAACCAACAGCCAAATATAAGAAAATGTTCCTCTGGTTTTACTTTTCAGAGCATAGATTTTTAAAGCCTTTCTTCCTACCAAGTGGCATGGCAATCAACCAACAGATTTACTTGAACAAGTGTATTCAAAAGAGATTTATGCCGCTCATTGCAGAGCACCATTCAGATAATGCCTATATATTTTGACCTAGTATCAGAGCATTACACAAATTTCCATCATTTCCTATCTGGAGGCCAAATAGGTGAATTTCGTCCAAAAAGAAGACAATCCCCCAAATGTCCCAGAATTGTGTCCCATCAAAAAAATTTTGGAGAATTCTGAATGGCAAGGTCAATGTATAGAGATAGCATGCAAAAAGTTTAGATCATCTGCACAAAAAGATAATCGAGAAATGCCTCAAAGAAGTTGACATGGTCAGTGTACAACATTTTACAAAATAGGTTCCAGCTCTTGCTGATTCTGTTTGACAACATGGCTTAATTGAAGATCAATAAAACTTTTTGCAATAAAAAATGTGATACTCTAATTGAACGTTTTTAGTTTTTTGAAAAATATTGAAAAAAGAGGGAGCAACATTTCTTTAAAACTTGTTTCATTTTTAACTTGCCACTCATTAGGTGGATATCCTTAATAAGCTAGTTAAAAGAAGAGAGATAAAGTTAATTAACAATGTTTTTTGTTTTGTTTTTAATGTTGTATATTAACTTTAACGTAATCAGAATATTTGTTGATAAAGAAATAAAATTAGAAATTTGTTGATAAAGAAATAAAAGTAAAAAAATTGTTAATAACGAAATAACTTTTTAATAAAAAAACTAAATAAAAGATGTTATCGATAATTTAAATTTATTATCAATATTTATTTTCTTTAACTTGAATATTGTAAAGTAAAAATTTAAGTTATCTTTTTTTGAAAAAGAAAAATCTGCTTTGCCTAATTTAAATGTCAGATTTTATTGAATTAATAAATATGTTAACAATTATTTAATTTCAATAAATTAAAAAACTACCTTGGCAATTTTAAACACAGCGCTAGGTTTATCATTTGAAACAAAACCTAACATATGCCATGCTACCTCAGAATTTGGCCAGCATAAGTAGATAGAAGCAGCATAACCTTCAGGGAAAGGTTGACTTCCAGTTAAAAAAATTACTAAATGATTAATGCTTTCACAATTTGGTAGAAGAAAAACAATTTGAGCATCGCTTATTTGTTGATAGACAAACTGCACCTAAAAAAAAATTTAATAGCAATCAAAAAAATCACTTCATCTAAAATTTCACACACACACACACACACACACACACACACACACACATACACAATTTCAAATATAAAGAAACCCATTTTAAACTTAAATGTAAAGGCTTAAGTAATTTGCTTACAATTTATACTCAATTTTTATAAAAACAATATTTTTCAATTATAGCTTCAATATTTTTCAATATTCAATATTACAATTCAATATTACTTTATTGTCTCTGCCAAGTTCCAAGTCATGTTTTTCTATATAAAATACCTGTTTTGATTAATACACTTGGTTTACCCTTTATTAAAGAACTAAAATTGGATGTGGAAAAAAAAATTTTCTTCTCAAAATTAAATTTAAAAATAATTTTTAAATAAGTAAATTCACTAAATAAAATTTTTCAAATTTTGCGCATAATTTACATTAAAAATATAAATATAATTACTGTTTAGAAAGTAAACGAAAAAAAGAAAGAATTGGCAGCGCTTTTAAATAAATAATTTTAACAGCAATGGTCATCTGTTTCAGTTAATTTCTAAACAGTTAAAAGCAACTAATAAAAAAATGTTACAATTAAAAATATAATTAGAAGAGTTGAGAAGATCCCAAAAAGGACTACAGTTTTAAAAGTCACAAATCAATTATTTCTTCTTGAATTTGGTATTCAGAATCCCGAAAATCCAGAGACTTATCGGTAAAAAAAATATTAAGTTCCAAGTCATTAAATATCATTAATTTTTTTCTTAATACAGATCATAAGTCACTCAACATTTTTAGGGCTCCTAGACACAAGAGACCACAAAAATATAGTGATTTAATGCTGGAGTCCTTTTTGAGTCGCCGCATCCCTGATATTTAACTTATAAAAAAATTACTTTGAGAAAATGATTTTAAATCATATAAACAAATGCTTAACCAATCAGAAACCAACATGTAGCTGAAATCAACAACCAGCATGCAGCTGAAATCATTAACCAGCATGCAGCTGAAATGCAGCTCTTTTTCTGAAAAAAATATTACTCTTAAATACTTAAAATACAAAATTTTTTTAAAAGTTATACATAAAATAATATCAAAACATTTTAACTTTTCACTCATAATATTACCATTATAAAAAGAGAAATCACCAAATTTACATTGTTGATTTTTATTATCATTTTGAAGTTTTTTTATCGAAAATTGCTTTGAAAAATCTAACCATTTAGATTTAACAATATTCACATAACTTGTGGATAACAATTATCTATTGATTAAACAATAACTCATCTAAAATTATTATTTATACTTTAAGTAATATACCTTTAAGTTTAGCATTTTTTTAAAGAATAATTCAAAATATTGTAAATATATTTTTCTAAATAAAATTGTAAGATAACTGGGTCATTCCATATGATCTTCCCTTTTAAAAGTGCCTATTGGTACCATTTCAGATTTACATCAAATTTGGACCACCCACAATTTTCATGTCAAAAATGAAACCTTGAAAATTTCAAAATTAGAAAAATTTTAGTAGCTTATAGTTAGTATTTCCAATACCGGTAGTACCGGAATACTGGTATTACCAGACTTTTTCAAGTAACAAAATAACGGTATTGAATAAAATCAAATGGTAGAAGTACCTAAGAACTAACCATGAAATTGACTTGCTGAAGAAGAAATTGGAGGAGATGCAGCATTGTCATCGGTTTCGTTTTCAATGGTACCAATGTTTAAGTAATTGTGATCAACAGTTGTGCAATTCAACTAGGTGTTTAAGACGCTTTGTACAAAAAGTTGTCAACTTCTGCACAAAAAAAACTGCAATTACAACAATAGCAGTGAAAGTGACAAGGATAGAAATACTGACAATGACACAAACAAAGCCTATTATGATGAAGATTTTTCTGGTGAGTTTCAAGTTAATATGAGTGAAAAGAATGACTCTATTGAACTGACTAGTGATTTGCAGCTGTTAATCAATAAGGTGCACACCATTGTGAAATTGTTTCGCCGATAAAAAATGAACAAACACTTCAAAAATACGCATTAGACAAATTCGGTAAAGGCCTTCCACTAATACTTGACTCCAAAACTCGCTGGAATAGCTTGCACACAATGCTCAAACATTTCATAAAATTGTAAAATTCCATTCGCAATTCACTGATCGACCTTGAGTCCAAAGTTGAGGTAACTGGATAAGGAGTTCAATGCTGTTGCTTTATGTCTTGCGTCAATTTGGCACAAAAATTGGCTGTAAAACATCGTGCCGATATAATGCAACACTGTTGTCAGCCGATACAACACTAATGTTAATGATTGATAACCTTGGAGAAACTGATATTAGATGTAAAGTTAAAAGCTATGTTGGTACGAAAATTCAATGAGCAACGTACATCTTTATCCAGCTCACTAAAATATCTGCATAAGAGCCATCAAAGTTACAAGAATTTGGATCCAGCATTATCTTTTGAGCACTTTAGCAAATCTGCATTGCAAATACTATCATTTAACTGAATGATAGTATTTGCATTATATGCTTTCCAGTTAATCGGCTTAATCGGAAAGCGTATAATTCTCTCCCTTTGTAATTTTGAAAAATAAGAAATGTAACAAGGGAAGATTGAAAGTTTCTAATAATTTATTTAAAATTATATGTATCTATATGTAATAAGATGGCAGTTTTTGAAGAAACAGGAAATTGTGGCATTTATTTGAAAAATTCCTACGAATATTTGAAAACTGTGAAACCAACAAGTACTGAATTAGAGTGTGTATTTTCAGGAAGTAGCAGCATTGTCACAAAATTACAATCATCTTTTGAGGATGATACTCTAAATGCCCTATGTTTCTTAAAGGCTCATTTTACAAAGGAGAAAAAAGTGAAAAATGAAAAAGTCAGTTATTTTGATATAGAATAAATAAGCTTATCGAATCAATAAAATTTTTACTATTAATTTAAGATTTTGTTCATATTATGATAAATTAGAAAAAAAAATGTTTAATACCGGTATAATACCTGTATTACCGGCAGGGATGCGAAGTCCGGAGTCGGAGTCCGGAGTCGGAGTCCATGGAGTCCCTATTTTAGCCCGGAGTCCGGAGTCTCGGGAGTCCATAAAAATTTTAGGACTCCAGGACTCTTTTTTTTTTTTTTATAGTTATTAATATGCATAAGAAATACCTGATAGTCTTGTCACAAAACACTGTAAAAGAGCATTTGACCGGAAAGCTCATCTCCTTCCTTACTAATTCGAACCAATACTCAGATTGAGTATCGGTTAGAATGTTACGCCTTGTTAAGAGGCGTTACCAAGCTCGCATTTTACGTGCGAAAAGGCCATATGCTTATGCGTTCAGCAGTTTAACGTTAAGAGAAAACTTTCTTCTTTTAGAAAATTTAATTTTTATTTTGATATCGTTGATGTGACGTTTATTCAGAAAATATAATGTTGTAAATAAAAGTATTTAACCGCAATTGCGATCTAATAGTTTTTTTTGTTAAAGAAACTGTTTAAAAATTTTTTTTCTGTTAAATTTAATTAAAAAAAATAAAGTGTTTTAACTTTAAAAATTTCATGATATTTAATGTTAAGTTTTATATTAAGTTAATAAACTTTTATTCGCAAATTATTTTCATTTTATATGTAACAATTTTTGTTTATTTATTTATAGTTTTAAAACAATTAATTTTTTTATCCCGTTAAGAAAGTACTTATGATTAACTGTTTATTTAAGTATTTCCTCATCATCAAATTTCGAGACCCAGGGACAATTTTCCTAAAAAGAGAGGAAGTTAACATTCGACACTTAAATATTTTTTATAAGACATTAGTCACTTTTGAAGGATTCATCCTCCTCATTTTATTCACAAAATCGCCACTGGCTAGACCTGCAGATAAAGATATGTTTGAACGCTTAGTTGTTTTATTATTTTTTAATATTTATCAAATTTAGAGATAAATGATATTTTAGTGTTGAAGTTGCTTTTATGCATAAGTTTTTTCGTTATCTTTAATTTTTTAGATTGATCATAGAAAGAAAGTCGATTAGAATAGATTAACTAGGTTATGAGCAGTAGACAAATATTTTACCAAAGTCAAGTTCTTTAAAAAAAAATTGTCGATATATTTTTTGCTTTGTTTAAGCACTGTTTAAAACTGTAAACTATAGTAGGAAACTATACTTATAAATAAATGAAGCTTGTAAATACTATTAGAAAAAAATATATATCTTTTTATTTCTTTTAATTTCAACCCAAAATGGCATGACTCTGTCTAAGAAAATAAAAAGTCTACTCTGCTAATAAAATAAAAAATTTTATTTTAATAACGCCTAATGAAAAATTGTAATGAAAGCAATATGGTTTAGATACGAAAAGCAATCAAATTTCACTAGCAAATTAATTATACGCAATAAAAAAACAAATTTGTCTGTGAGTTTGCGCTATAAAATCAAGCTAACGATCTAGACAGTTGGCAAAAAACGTACCATCAAGGTCAGAAAGAAGCCAAAAAAAGCTTATAAAAATACCTCAACAAATAAATAAAAATTATTTTGCACAGCAATTTCTTTTACAGAAAAACTACTAACGTCATCGATTCATAACTAGCCATTGTAACAGCTTTCCTAACTATGTTTTCGTGGGTTGTTTTACAAAAAATTAATTTTGCGAAGCATATATAACACAAAGAAAATACATTACATGTTCACAATAACTTGCAATAACAACATTCTTTCTTTAAAATAATATTTGCTATTAACTCGCGTGTATCAATCTTGACCAGTAATGGCCACTAACTATGCATCAGATACGATCTACAGACACTTTCATCGCACAAATAAAATTTTGAATGGATGCAAAGTAGTATGCTTCAAATGTCTTGTACCCGAAAAAAGTAAAAGTAACGAGTTATGTGGTAAAGAAATTACATGTGCCGCAAAAGCTCGCATTAGCAACCTTATACGACACTTATCTAGAAAACATGCGGAGCTCCTCATTACGTTAGAAAAAAAAAAATTAGAAAAAAAAATAGAAGAAAAGAATAAGAAGCAAAAATATACAGCCATCAAAGGCAGCACTTCACAGCAATCCATATTAAAGTGTTTTGTACCACAGCAAATTAGTTTGCATATTACAAAAGATGAGTTTTTAGAAGCCTTAAACCAGCTGGTTTTGGTTGAAGGTCTTTCATTCCAGGTTCAATTTATTTTTTCGTTAGTAATTATTTTTTAATTAAAAAAAAAAAATCTAGACAGTTATATGTTTTTTTGGCATTTTTAAATTAACATTTATCATTCTAAAAACAATATCTATAGGCGTTTGATCGGGAACCTATTCAAAAGCTTTGCGGAAAAGTTTCATCTCATTTTGGATTTAAAATGAATAGAGATAATATGAGAATTCAAATTATCGATCTTGCCAAAAAGCATCGCGAACAAATCAAAAACAAATTAACGAAAATGCTAATTTATTTGAAAGTCGATTCTACATCAAGGCATATGCGTCACTACCTCGGTATAAATGCCCAATACTCGAACAATGATGAAATTGCTGTGATCAATCTTGGCACGATTGATACAAAGGGAAAACAAACGGCGGAATACACAAAAAAAATTATTGAGAAGTGTTTAGATAAGTTTGGAATCAATAAAATTAATATTTTAGGCCTCAGTGTTGACAACGCAGCAGTGAGTAACATATTTTGAAATTCACTATATTTTTTGTTAATAAAAAAAATTTTAAATTATGTGATTAAAGTTATTATTTTCCATAAAATCATTTAAAAATTAAACTATTTTGATAAAATCTTTTGTATACTGTAAGGTTCACTAAACTTTAACTATTGAAATCATATTTAATATCCTTAGGTGAATATAAAGTTGGTGCGCGACTTTGGCATCAGCGCCGTTGAAGATATTGGAGATGACGAAGACGATTTTTCAGTAGAAACTGATGAATTTGACGAAGATGGTTATTCTAAAGCAGACAATGCGGAAGCAGTCTTGGCAAGTGGAGTTGCCAGTAGCATGAGTGTTATACATCTTCAAAGATGTGCTGTCCACACTTTACAGCTAGCCGTAAATGATGCATTGAAAAGGCCCACAATAAAAAATCTAATTAACCATGCCAGAGATGTTGTCAAAGCTGCAAGAAATTCGAAGTGGATTGACTTCTTCAGAGACCAGACTCCACATCTCATTCCAATTTTAGATCAGGCTACCCGTTGGTCTAGCCAGTTCAATATGATTGAGAGGCTAATTAAGGTAAGTTATAACTTATAACTTCTAAGCTTTAATCAAAGTGTATAAGCCAGTTTTCTCACCGGTATAATATAAATCCAATTATTTCAATGGTAATGACATTTATACTACTTAATAATTTTTAAATGTTAGTTTATGTAAATATTTCTTTAATAATCCTCTTTATTTAAGTAGTTAATAACTTTGTACATATATTTAATGAATTCTTCTGTTCTTCTAGATTCGACCAGTAATTCAAAATCTAAATATGCAAAAAGAAGCTCCTAAAGAATTTAATGTGCGACCATGTTTTTGGGGTATGTGGGAGGAATTGAGAGATGTATTGCATATGGCACGCGATCTTACTATTCGTCTTCAACGTGAAAATATCACCGCAGGCGAATTTCTTTTTGATTGGAATTCAATTAAGTGTGAACTTGACGGGAAGGACAGTGACTTAGCCAAAGATTTCCAAAAAGGAATGGATAATAGAGAAAGCGCGCTACGCGAAAATCCGTTGTTTCTTGCAGCAGTTTACGTTGATATTAGGCATGGCTGTATGCTAACAGCGACTGAAGACAAGGTTGTTTTTTTAATAAAATTTTATTTATATATATTTATTTATTTAACTTTAAAAAATACATATTCCAAAAAGTATAAATACTTCTATAGATAACTGCAGCTGATGGACTTTGGAAAATACATTACAAACTTATTCAACTCGCTAATGAAAATAAGAATAATGAACTCAATAAAACCAAAAAAGCAGTAGAGCGCAACTCTTTTGCAGTTTATGTGTCAGACTCTAGTTCAGAAAATGAGGAGAATGCTTCACCAGTTGCAAAGCGTCGACCAAATTTATTTAAGTTGTGTGAACAGGAGGTTCAAGAAAATTCTTCAGAAGAACAAATGCAGGTTCAACTAGATGTAATCGAAAAGGAGTTTCGACTAGCTCTAAAAACAATTCCGGAAATCCGTTGAATGTTTAAAGAAAAATCATCCAACTTAGACGAGTTTTTAAAACTTAACCCATTAAAATCAATTGAGCAGTTCCCTGAAGTTGTACGGGACGCCTGCCGTGTTGCTTTGTCGCTACCCATATCCCAAGTCAGTGTCGAGCGTCTGTTTTCAGTCTTAAAGCACATGACACCAGACCATCGTAGTCGATTTACGTCTGATTTAATTGATGATATGCTTTTTTTACGAACAAACGAGTTTTTT